ACCTAATTAAGGATGTAAAAGTGCTTTTGTTTTCAAAGGTTATTGTTGGTGAGATTAAAACAATTAATTGGAACTAAAAAATAAAGAAGTGTGAGTGTCCCCTGTGTGCAGCCCACAAATGTCCCTTTCTGGCCCCCCCTCCCTACAGTTCTCCTCCTGCTTCTGCCTAATCACCCCCTTCCCCAAGGAAGCCCCCATCCTGGCACATGCTGGCCTCTGACCCCTCCAGTGGCATTGGTGGTTCTGGGCCCAGGAAGCCAGGTGGTGGTGCCAGGCCAGCCCCAGCATGTGTGGCTGTTGCTCAGTGGACAGGTGGATGACTTTTGCGGACCTTGGGAGAGTCATGGGATTTCACTGTTGGGGTTTGCTTTCCTTCCAGTTTGTGTCTGTTCTAGCTGGTTGTTGGGCGGTGGGTGGGAACCAGGGCTGAGTGGCCTTGTTGGTTGCAGTGATGCGGACCCAGGGTAGCCTGCGGCTGATCCTCAACACCAAGCTGTGGGCTCAGATGCAGATTGACAAGGCCAGTGAGAAGAGCATTCGCATCACAGCCATGGATACCGAGGACCAGGGCGTGAAGGTCTTCCTGATCTCGGTGAGCAGCCCCCCAGACAGGCTGGGCTGCCCAAACCCAAACAGCCCCCCTCTCTCGGACCAGGGCAGCAACCCCGAGCCGCCACAGGAGGGAAGCTTCTTGGCACATGCTGGCAGTCACCACAGGGCTGGATTGAGAGTGCCCCTCTGCGGGAGCACTCAGCACTGCTCTGAGAGCGTGGCCCTAGAGAGCAAGGAGGCCTCTAGGTGGGCCCCACCCCCAAAATGAGACGCAGGAATGCCACTGTCACTTGAGGGCTGACCCAACCACAGGCTCTGGGAGCACTTGGAGGGATGGGCCCTGGGCTCTGGGAGCTTTGGGCTGTGAGCCCAGGGAGCGCTTTCCCCATGAAGCCTCATAATCAGGACTTCCTCTGCCTCCCCCAGGCCAGCTCCAAGGACACGGGCCAGCTATATGCCGCCCTGCACCACCGCATCCTGGCCCTGCGCAGCCGCGTGGAGCAGGAACAGGAGACCAGAACACCTGCCCCCGAGCCTGGTGTGGCCCCATCCAATGAAGATGACAGTGACGATGACGACGTCCTAGCTCCGTCAGGGGCCACAGGAGGCGGTGAGCCAGCAGTCCCTGCCCTGGAGGGCGCAAGGGGGCTGGTTTCCTAGATCCCCTCTCATCCATTGCCGTTGGCCCGAGGGTGACATCTTGGTGTGGAAGCCTGACCCCGGGGGCTGGGGTGCCTTCCAGAGTGGGGACCTGATGGCGAGGCCACTGCTTCCCACAGGCGCTGACAACGAAGGGGACGGGCAGACAGCTGGGAGCACATAGCGCCGGGAGCTGGCCACCCAGGAGCCTGCTGCTTTGTCCGTCTGTCCACCCACCCGCCCGCCCCTCTCCGGCTGCGTC